ATTAAGTATAGTGGTTGAAATATATAAGTAGCATCAGTGTTTAAGCAGTTTTAAAGATTGAAATACATGCCGTCCAGGTAGCACAAGCAGCCGGCATCCACGACACGGTGGGGCAGGACCTGGTGGCCATGTGCGTGAATGACGTCCTCGTTCACGGCGCGGAGCCGCTCTTCTACCTTGACTACTTCGCCACCGGGAAGCTGGAGGTGGGCGTGGCAGCTAGTGTGGTGAAGGGCGTGGCCGATGGCTGTTCTCTTGCTGGCTGCGCTCTCATAGGTATGTAGGAAGATGTATGCCATAGGAGTGTACTAGATATTTATCATTGTCTATTCTCAGTTGCTAGTGTTAAGCATTTCTCCTTGCCTTTGATGGAAGTTCCCTTCTAATGATATGCTTTCGTAGTTACAGCAATTGTATCAAATTTAAGGAATGAGCCACTCAGATCTCTGAAGGCGATGTGATTTGCCAACTCCTTATGCCAATCCTCTCTGCAGGAGGCGAGACAGCAGAGATGCCCGGCCTTTATTCCCCCGGCGAGTACGACCTCGCCGGTTTCACTGTCGGTGCAGTCGAGAGGGAGAACCTTTTGCCCCGAATGAGCGACATTTCCGACGGCGATGTCCTCGTCGGTCTGGCGTCCTCTGGTCTCCATAGCAACGGCTTCAGTCTCGTCAGGCGGATAGTCGAGGCTGCCAACTTGTCCTATTCGGATCCAGCGCCTTTCTGTCCGTCTAGTAGTCTAGGTAAGTCAGTGATGAACTTTCGATTCATAATCCCATTAAATACCGATGTTGGAAAACACTTATCAAGTCTCTGTCGATGTAATTGTGGGTTTGTGTGCCCGTGCTCATCAAGCAATATTGATTTGTCCATACCAAACGAACAGTCCTAAATGCATGGCCTAATTTCTCTTATTGCATGTTGTGACTTCCTTTATACTCCTTGACAGGTTCGGAGCTCCTCAAACCCACCAGAATCTACCCAAAAATGCTCGTGGCAGCCTTGCGAAGCGGCCGGGTGAAGGCGGCGGCTCATATCACGGGCGGAGGCCTCACGGAGAACTTGCCGCGGGTTCTGCCGGAGCGCCTCGGGGCCACATTGCACGCCCGCCGCTGGACCGTACAACCCGTGTTTCAGTGGCTCGCGGCTCATGGTTAGAATGCGATTTCTTTGATTTTGCAGTTCTGAAATGATTGTGAAAAAATCTAATGATACTTCAGAGTCTTTATTATTATTTTTAGTAGTAGTAGTAGTAGTAGTATAGTAAGCTATATAAAGTCACACTGAAAAATCGAGATTTATACCACCAAAGGTGTCAGTGCAGGTCAAGATACAGCTAAGAAAGATTGAAAGAATAGAAAGTCAGCTGCTTACGTAAGAAAAACGTGTTAGCTGATCTTTTAAACTTATCAAGAAGAGAAGTTACAATCTCCGAAGGCAATTTATTCCAAAGTCTACAAATAGTAAAAGCATCTAGAAAACTGAGTTGTAGACGATCGACTTACATCAAATGTCATTGAATTGAGGGTCGTAGAACTTCAGGTAATTCTTGCAGGTTGATAAAAATCAGGTAAAAACTTATGGAGGGAATGTGAATTATCGGTTACAATCTTCTATAAGACTGAATGCTCTTTTAAAATTAGATGTCTGTTCCAGTCGATATTAATTGGATTTGGATTATGTTCAGGTGTAAGTCCGAGCGAAATGGCCCGAACATTCAACTGTGGCCTGGGTATGGTGTTGGTGGTGGCGCCGCCTGACCTGGACGCAGTGATGAAGCTTTTACCCGAAGGACAGGTCGTCGGAGCACTAAGGCCACATACGCAAGGTAGTGTAAAGGTCACGTAAAATATCGGCATTTCTTTTCGATTTGAACCTTTCTTTCAGGGACATTTGAATTTGTTTATAGGGATTAAAGTCTTTTGTTACATAAGTTCTAATCTCCACACTATTATCGCCATTACATCATACCCTGTCACTGTCTCCCATTTTTTCTTGTATATGCCCCGTTAGTCCTCGATTTTGTCTCCTATCTGACCTTTTGTCACAATATATACACGATCTCCCTTCCCTTTCCACTTACTTCACCACTTGGGGTCGAAATGTTCCTTCATCACTCATCCTCACATCACTTACGGAGTATATCCTCCAACGACCCTCAGGATCCTCGCGCGTGGTTCTGGAGGGCCTCGAGGACGTGCTGCGCGAAGGGGCGTCCTCATTACTCGCCAAATGCCCCTCACTCACAGCGCCTCGACGGAGAGTGGGGGTCCTCATCTCCGGCTCGGGGACCAACTTACAGGTATTCAATCCTTGCTGGTGTGAATGTGTGATGGTATCAGATGGTTGGGAATAAAGGATTGGAAAACGTACGACAATGCCGACAATGAGTTTCATTGTCTCCGGTATGAACGTGTTTTCCTACGCATTCTGTCGTTGTTTTGTGTATGTTTAAAGGGGGAGGGTTACATCTGTTGGAAATCGATTCTTGTATTATTTCTATGCCTTTGGTGTATGTTTACAGCAAGATTTTCGTAAACTATTTTATAGGAATGTGCTCTTGAATATTTTTTTGATATTTGTAGGCTCTGTTGGATCACACTCGCTCCGGCCTTAGCTCAGCCCAGATCGTGCTCGTAATAAGCAACGTAGCGGGCGTGAAAGGGCTACAGCGAGCTCAGGATGCTGGTGTAGCAACGAAGGTAAGATTACATAATGTTTGAAATATTTCGATGGCTATCTTTTTCTTCTGCGGACATGCGAGACCAGGTAGAATCATAATTTAACACCCGTATTTCTCTCTCTCTCTCTCTCTCTCTCTCTCTCTCTCTCTCTCTCTCTCTCTCTCTCTCTCTCTCTCTCTCTCTCTCTCTCTCTCTCTCTCTCTCTCTCTCTCTCTCTCTCTCTCTCACTCATTCACTCATTCACTCATTCACTCATTCACTCATTCACTCTCATTCACTCCAGGTGATTCCCCACAAGAACTACAAATCCCGACAAGAATTCGACGCAGCTCTGACGAAGGCGCTGGAGGAGGCAGGCATAGAGCTCATCTGCCTCGCCGGATTCATGCGCATTCTGACAGGCGAGTTCGTGAGGCGGTGGCGGGGGCGTCTCCTCAACATCCACCCGTCTCTCCTGCCGTCTTTCAAGGGGATGCACGCCCAGAGACAGGCGCTTGAGGCCGGGGTGACGCTCACGGGCTGCACTGTGCATTTCGTCTCTGTAAGTGTTTGAGGACATCGCGACTATAACATCGAAAGGAATAATAATAATAATATTATTATTATTAATATTAATATTAATATTAATATTGAATAATGATAACGTTAACGATAACTATAATGATAACGATAATGATAATGATAATAATGATGATAATAAAACACGAATATGCTCTATATCAAGCTTTTTGCATCATTATATTTTGGAGGAGCTATATAGCAGAAGGGACTGGTTGCTTGATAACTATATCAACTGTATCTATATCAAGGAAAGTATAGTCGTAATTTCTTCCTACATTTCAAACTTTATCACAGGGATGAAGACAGGGATCTCTTCTCTGATCAATTACTTAATGTTTATACCAACAGGAGGAAGTGGACTGCGGCGCCGTGGTCACTCAAGAGGCCGTACCGGTGCTGGTGGGAGACACCGAAGACGCGCTCGTGGAAAGGATCAAGACAGCTGAGCACAAAGCTTTTCCTAGGTCAGTTAAGTCGGATGTGTTGAGTTCGTGTAGCATGTAGTGTGTGTGTGTGCGTAGTGCGTAATGCGTAGTGCGTAGTGTGTGGTGCGTAGTTTGTGTGTGTAGTGTGTAGTGTGTGTAGTGTGTGTGTGTGTGTGTGTGTAGTGTGTGTGTGTGTGGTGTGTGTGTGTGTGTGTGTGTGTGTGTGTGTGTGTGTGTGTGTGTGTGTGTGTGTGTGTGTGTGTGTGTGTGTGTGTGTGTGTGTGTGTGTGTATGTGTATGTGTATGTGTGTGTGTGTGTGTGTGTATGTGTATGTGTATGTGTATGTGTATGTGTATGTGTATGTGTATGTGTATGTGTATGTGTATGTGTATGTGTATGTGTATGTGTGGTGTGTGTTGTGTGTGTGTGTGTGTGTGTGTTGTGTGTGTATTGTATGTATTGTATGTAGTGTGTGTGTAGTGTGTAGTGTGGTGTGGGTGTGTGGGTGGGTGGGTGGGTGGTATATATGTATTACTGTTGCGTGTTTAGTGCAGTGGGATAGTTTCATTCAGACTACAGTATTATGATAAGCGACAATACCAACTTGATTAATTGATCATATTCTATTAATAAAGACAATACTGTTTCAGGGCAATGGAGATGGTGGCAAGAGGGCAAGTACGGCTTGGCGAGGACGGCAAATGCATCCGAATCTAAGTCTAAAAGGGTAACACACACACACACGCACACAAACAGACAAATAAGCAAACACAAACATATCAAAAACAAATAAACACACGCACGCACTTACACGCATAGATGCATACATATACTTCTGATACATGTTCCTTTCAGCCTAAACAGTACTAATTAGGTTATTTTCTTCATGTGTGAAAGTATGATGCTTATTTTATATTCCGTAAAGTGAAGTGTGGATCTTTTTACTTTTTTATCTTCTATTTTGAAGTAAGAATACATCTCATTTTATTTGTTGTTAAGTTTTTATTTGTTATTAGGAAATTGTCCTTCTTTGTTATGTAATTGATGTTGATATATTTTGATATATTTTGTATCGGAGCGTTTATGCTGCAATGAATATTTTTAGAAAATGGAATTTGAATTTTCTTTCCCCCTTAAAAGATCTGAGGTGAAAATGAATATAAAATGATTGTAGTATTGGTTTTATCTTTTCATCCCAGGATACTTTACACACATAATTGATAAATGAAATAATCAGATATCAATATTTCCATTACATTTGAAAACCATAATATATTTTCAACATGAAAAAAAAATGCGTAGACAAGGCACAAGGAAAGTGTAAACAAATACAACCATTCTAAGATATATTCATAATTTACGATCGATGAAAAAAACAGTGAACGTGAATAATATACAGATGAGTTACAATGAGAAGAAAACGAGACCAGAATTCATCTCAGACGACACTTCGCCCGCTGGAGGAAGCAAGACGAGGAACTGCCGACCCACGAAGGCGACACGAGCGCTGAGAAGGATCTGGAAGACGAGAAAGTTAGACGTTACTTATCTATGCTGTTTTCTCTGTTTATCTACCTATCTATGTGTGTGTGAGTGCTCTACGAGCGTATGCTGTTCTCTTTGCCTATTTATATATCTATGTGTGTCTAAGTGGGCTGAGAAGTTGATAAGGATCTGAAAGATGGGGAATAAATGGATACTTTGCTATATGTTTTTTTCTCAATATGTCTTGAGTGCGCAGAGAAGTTGAGAAGGATCTGTAAGAGGGCGATTTATGCTTATATATGCTGTTCTCAGGAATGCTGAGAAGGATCTGGAAGACGAGGAATTCGTTACTTTTCTATGCTATTTCTCTGATTATATGTATTTCTATGTTTGTCTTGGATATGAAATGTCTCTGATTATCTGTATCTGTTTGTCATATATGCTATTTCTCTGATTATTTGTATGTCTATGTGTGTGTTAGTGTGCCGCGAACTTTGCGAAGGATCTGGAAGAGTGAGATATATATGCTGTTCTCTCTGCTTATCCATCTATCTATATATGTATGTCTGAGTGGGCTGTGGAGTTGAGAAGGAATAGGTAGAGGGCGATTTATTTATTAGTTATAGATGCCGTTCTCTCTGCTTACCTATATATCTTATGTGTGTCTGAGTGTGACAGTTGAGAAGGCTCAGGAAAGTGGGGAATGATGAGTTGGCTATATTTGCACTTTTATTTGATTGGTTATATGTCTGTGTCTGAGTATATTTATATAAGTACAGAGAGATAGGGAGAAAGATGTCTGTAAACGTTACAAACATTATATATGTGATATGTATGTTTGCAGTCAGACTATTTGCATACTTCAGATAATCAAATAATATGTTTTCCACACACACCTTACCACTTATCCCTTCCTTACTCTCTCTTCCCCCTCCCTCTCCATTCCATCCACTCCCCTTCCCCTCCCCTTCCCATCTCCCCTCTCCCCTCCCCTACCAACTCCCTTCCCTCCCTTTTCCCCTCCCCTCCCCACTCTCCCTTCTCCTCCCCTCACCTGGCCGGGTCGAAAAGCGCCGCCGATATGCCCTTCCTGCGGCCGAGGTCATGCAGCAGGAGGCAGTACTCCGCCCAGCCGCACTCGCCGCTAACGCCCGAGCTCGCCTGTGAGGGTGACGTAAGATGCATTAATGATTTGCTATTGACGTGAGCTATTATTGGTTCACTGAAGTATTCAAAAATGGTGCAACTAGTTTCAAGGAAATGGAAGGAAATCACTAGTGTTATGAGATCTCAGGCAAAGAAAAACCGACCTGGACCCACGAATCGAACAGCTGCAGCGCCACCGTCGCCACTTCCGCCGCGCCGTCCCAGTTGCTCCCGGACGCAGCGGGGGATGCGGTGGTAGACTTCGCCTCTTCGACCTGGGGACGGTTCAGCACCCGCAGGAGCCAGTCCGCGATAGAGCGACGCTTCCTGCCGGGCGGGAAGATAACGACCTGTGGAAGAAAAAAAAATGTTACAATGGATATTCTTTACTATGACAGGCTGTCTGTTCATTTTGCTTCTAAATTACCCCCTGTGTGCAAGGAATGGCCGGGGGTTACCATTTGACGCTATCGTTGCTACACACAGCACACTCCAGAGTATTGGAATGATGTAAGTGAATTGAATATATATACTTTTCATAAATTGAGTGTAGAAGACTGTATTCCTCTTTAATAAATCCTAATCTCTCGTTTGGTGGTATATGATCATCCTGTTGTGAAACATGGCGTGACACTTCCGGAGACTTTACCAACTTACCTCGGGTGCAAGTGATGTACAAAATATAAAACCCGATTTTCATTTTCTTCCTTAACTCATCTTATTGCAGTGAAGTTCCTAGTGAAATCTACTTATCACTAAGTTGCAGAGACAAAACACTTATTGCACTCACCTGATTAGCATTCTGCGTGTTGGTATTGGCGTTGACGTTGTTATTCGAAATATCGTTATTATTGTTCAGGTTGTTATTATTGTTGTTGTTATTGATGTTGTTATTAGCGTTGAGGACGAGCGTTATGACACCTGTGACAAAGGTGAGATAATTGAAGGTGTTGAACCCCGCCAAGAGACCGCTGACCTGAGAACATTTTCTTTTCTTCTTCTTGCCAGGCATGTAGATGACAGGTATTCCAGCCTCCCTTGTGGCCCTCGCGTTCTTCTCGGGTGTCTCGGTAGCATTGCTGTCAGATTTACGTGTTAATTTGTGCCCTGCGTTTACAGCGATCGGATCTGGCGGTGCGTTGGGTGTCCTGTGGCCGCGTCTACTAATAGCTACCCGGTCGCTTGTTTTGGCTGGCTTGATTTTCTTATTCTCAAAATGACTCTGTGTAGAATTGATGTTAATTTTTTTCTTCTGCTCGGGTTGTGCTGTGTCATTTTGGGTTGGCTCGACTTTCTTATTCTTAAAATGATTCATTTTAGTACTTAATTCAATCTTTTTCTCCTCGGGGTTAACTGTGTCGTTTTTTAAATCTTTGGGGAGCGTGGTATTCGCATGGTACATAAAGTCTCTTTTCGAAAAGAATTCGCCCATGTCCATTTCCGTGGGCGTCTCCGTCAGGAACCGCCAGTCTCGCAAGTGGTTCTTCAGCAGCATCTCGAACTCAAAGGCGAGCGTTTTGTATGCAACCTCATCGAGAAGGGAGCGCGATGCTGGGGCTGAGATGAGTTCCGGTGTTGTCAGGAACAGCACACAGAAAAGCGCTAACATGTTGTTCTGTTACTGTAGACCGCGGTGCAGGGTTAGAGCAGTCATCAATCTTCTATAACATGCTTTACGAAAAACGGATAATGGATTTTTTCCCCCAATACTGAGGCTTTCCTTTATGGTATGTGGAGCAGCTTGGCGTATCTGTTGAAATTACAGCCACTTTTACAGTTGGGTAATATCATGTATCCTTATAATTCGCAAAGCACAAACGGTAAACGTTATATTTAAGAATATATCCTTGAACACTATATCTTTGTAACACTATACCATATGTCTTCCGTACGCTCGTCCGAGGACAAAATTAAACAAACGCACGTACCTGCTGCAGCCCGGTGCGACGCTCGGGAGTGCGGGCTGTACACTGGCGGCGGGGCGAGTGCGGGGCTCGGGCGCTCCAGTGAGGACGGGAGGCGCGGCCGCCTCAGTGTCCCGCCAGCCTCGAACACACCATCACCGCGAAACAGCCGTAGTGGCAACTGATCGACAGCAAGCTGATTATGGTATCTATTCCCTAAACCTATATCTTGTGGTGAGATTGCCTGCAGTATGTAGCTGAAGAGGCAATATTGTTGAGAAAATATATCAAAGCCTTGGAAAAATAGGTTGTTAACCTGCGGAATCAAATTATAAGGATAGATGTGCGTTCGTGCGGTGCTCCTGGTCGCCATGGTTGCCTCGGTGAGGGCGTCTCGAGGTAGCCTCCCGGAGGACGCAAAGGAGGTGGCTTATCGCGCCCTTGCTTATGATCTCGAGGTCATACTTCAACAGCATCTCAATAACTGGAAATTCCTCACTGAAACGCGTTCAACGATAGATATGGGTGAAGTGTTCGACAAGAAACGTTTCCTGAATCCTAAAAACGTTCAAAATCCTAGTCGAAAGGCCAGAGATGTAAAATGGCCAAATTTAGACGCTGCGTCAGTACAGTGTGATAAGATTTTCTGCAGTGAAGTGAAGATGAACAAAACAAAAAACAAACGAGGGAAAGATGAAGATACCAGCGGAACACAAGAACGAAATCGTACCTTTTACCGAGAAAAAACTCAATCAACTCCCGACCACAGCAGAAACGGAATGGCAGACACAGACGGAACGTTAGAAATACGGGAAAACGAAGAAGAACAGGCGAAAGAGAGAGACGAAAGGAGTCTCCACGGAGGCAAGAGGAAGCCGAGAAATATCCCCGTGATGTACATGCCAGGGAAGAAGACGAAGAGGAAGTGTGTCGCCGCAGGAGGGATCCTATCTGGCCACAACGCCTTCAGTTTTCTCAGCTTCGTCACCGGCGTCCTGTCCCTGGTCTTGAATGTCAACAATAACATAAACAATAACAACGACAACAACAATCTGAATGACAACAACGCCATATCCAACAACAACGTGGATGCCAATGCCAACACGCAGAATGCCAATCAGGTAAGGAGAATTATCTCCCGTGACACCCGCTTTCAAATAATAATAATAATAATAATAATAATAATGGTAATAATAATATAATAGTAATGATAATAATGATAATAATAATGATAATAGCAATGGTAATGATGATAATGATAATAATAATAATAATGATAATGATAATAATAGTAATGATAATGATGATAATAATAATAATAGTAATAATAATAGTAATTATATGGATGGTTATGATGATGATAATAACGATAATCAAAATAATGATCATAGAATGATAATAATAATATTAGTAGTAATAATGATGATAATAATGACTAATAATGGTAATACTGACTAACAATAATAATAACAATAATAATATTATTATTATTACCGTTGATAATGATACTGATAATAACAACAATAATTATAACAAATGCATTAAAAATCAAAATGAAAAAATGAATGAATAAAATAGAAAAAAAAAATAAATGGAAACTAAGACCTCCCCCCCCCCTCCCCGCAGATCGTCGTGTTTCCACCTGGTCGGAAAAGACGGAGTTTCAGTGACTGGCGAATCCTGCAACTCATCAGTCAGCGGCCATACAATGCGCGGGAAAAAGACGACGTTGATTCCAAGCAGCGTGCAACACAGTGCAACAAGGGACTGAGCCATCATCACGTGACAGATGCTATGACGTCTGGCTTGCGACTCCTAGCGGCTTCGGCTATTGTGAGTGGGTTAATGTTCTGCTTTTATAGTCATGATGAAAATAGTGATATTGATGATGATTATGATCATAGTAATGATGATAATGGTTTATAATCACGATAAAAAGTGTGATGATAATGATAATATTGATGATGATAACAATAATAATAGAAATGAAAATAATAATAATGACAATAACGATGATAATAGTGATTATGATAATGATAATGACCATAGTAATAACAATATTGATTATAAGAACCATTGAATGTTTAAAATAATTATTAAGATGATCGCAGTGATAACAATGATTATAACAACAAGAAATAACACTAACAAAGACAACAATAATAATAATAATAATGATAACCATGATGATAAGAATAGCACTAATCACAATCATAATAATGAGAATAATAATGATAATAATACCAGTAATAGTAATACTAGTGATAATGATAACAATAATATCATTATTACCAGTATCATTATTGTTGTTATTGTTATTATTATTATTATTATTATCATTACTACTAGTATCAGTATCACTATCATCAATATTATCACCATTAGTATTATCATCGTCAGCATCATCATCATCAATATTACCATCATCAGTATCATCATCATCAATATTACCATCATCAGCATCATCACCACCAATATTACCATCATCTATTATCATCATCCGTATCATCATCATCAATACCATCCTTATCAATATTCACACTGATAAAAAACCGTCTCGCTCACAGGAGGACCTAGCCAACAGCCTCTCAGAGAGCCAAGAGATAGTTTTCGACGACTCTTGGCGGCTCCTCAGCAGGGAGATCCAGCAGGTGAGAGCTAAAGGTGGCTCAGGGGCTCTGCTGGCTTCTGCTGTCAGGTGGGTGGCCGTTTTGCAGTCTGCGTGAGTTCGCAGGTGTTGGAAAGGCATGTCTGAGTTGTTAGAAATATAGTGCACATAAAATAAAATATATATATAGGGATTGCATTCGTGAATTCATAGGGAGATAAGGACAATGAATAAAGATTACTATGTAATTGCAATGGTGATAATCAAAAGATTTGTGAAGAAAGGTAAAGATAATGAAGTAATTGTGAAGCCGAAAGTAATGAAATCGACGATAATGAAACTAACGAGCAGGATGATAATGATGATGCTGGAAATGATAATGACAATGGCAATAACGAAATGATGATGATGATAGTAATATTAATGATATTGATGATTGACAATATTAACTATGACAAATATTATAATTTTTTTATCATTATTATTACCATATTGTTATTATTATCATTATTTTTATTATTATCATAACCATTTTCATCATTATTATAATCATTATTATGTATATGATTATTTTCATTATCATTGTCATTAGTATTTTTATTATTGTTGTGGTTGTTGTTGTTTTTGCTCTCATAATTATCATCATTATTGGTATCATTATCATTATTATCGTTGTTGCTATTGTTATTATCATCAATATCATTACCACTATAGCATTCTTATATTTTTAAAAGAGTGACAAATAAAAATCATGATGAAAATATGAAAACAAAAAGATCACACATTCAGTAAAATAACCGCATTTCTCTCCTTTATTTCCAGGGCAATCTCCCGAGGGTGATTCATCTCCGGAAGCAAAGGTGGGCGTGGCCTAAGGAAGCACTTTATTGGCCAGGTTGTTGAAATCATGCGAGGCCCGACCTAATGAACATTCACATGTACGGACAAGCATATACACAAATATAAATAGCTATCAGTATAGACATGATTATCTACCAGATAGATAAATGTATATCTGTCAGACAGATGAACATGCATATCTACCGGATAGATAGATACATGTGTATCAATCAGATAGATAGGCATGCATATCTACCGGGTAGATAGATAGATGACTGTATCAGATAGATATACAGGTACCGATTTTTGTGGAGGAGACTCGCAGTTTTGTTAAAATGAAAATAAAACCCATTTGTTACGATTTTTCGAACCTTCCTGTTAAAGTACTCGCATATGAGACTTACCTATGAAAAAGAGGTAAATCTCTTAAGTGTGGAACTAAAAAAGGAAACCGAGATTATACGAGGAAAGTGATAATTCTATCGGAAACACCTCGTCATATGTGTTCAAATACTGGGCTTATATGATAGCGTTTCATACTGCGATAGTGGGTGTAGGATGACGGGGTTGAGTATTTTATCACTGGTTAAATAATGATAATAATAATTGGAGGAAGGATGATAAGAATGATAATAAAAATGCTGATAAGAATGGTAATCATTATTGTCACCATTACTATTACTATTATTATCAATATCATTATAGTACTTATTGGTATTGTAATTACCATTATTACTGTCTCTATCACCTTTTTCATTATCACTATCTTGATTATTATCATTATTATGATCAGTATCATTATCACTATCATTATTTTCATTATCATTATATTTATCATTATTATTATCATCGTTATCACAATTATCATTACTATCTCTTATACTTATTGTTATCATTATCATTATTATCATTATATCATTATCAGAGGGCGCTAACTTTATTCCACTTTCATCTCTGGACTTCAGAAAAAAAAATCACAGCCAGGAAATCCCAACAAATCGGCGCTTTCGCCATGGTCAACCCACCCATAAATTTTCTTTGCGATCTGATGTGTAACTTTTCTTTCTAAAATTCTTGACAAGCAATCCGACGAAGAAGCTTATCAAATAAATAGGTAAACAAAGAAGTAAATCCTCTCAATGACCCTTTTTTCTTGGACGGAAGCAATAAATAAAAGAAACCGGCTAATTAAGCAATGATTGCGGTTGGAAAAACAACTCCCTTTGATTGGGCAATAACCGCTTTATTGCACTGGATTTTAACCATTTTACGACCATGATGAGTTGCTAATTTCCCGCTCTCCGCTGTGACAATAACAAACTCCCAAAACAACATAATATTCAGTTTGGAATTTACGAAATATATACGAGACTTGCAAATTACTAGTGATTGTGGTGTTTACAAATACAGTCATTCTTCTCTAAAAGGCCCACTGGTGAATTGCTCTGAATTATGTATCATAAAATTGTGAATGAGGAGCAGATGTAAGATCTTTTTTTTACTTTAATACTTAGAAGTTTTATTACTATTATTATTATCATATCAGTATGATTATATTATCACGTTCGATATCATTAAGAATATTGTTGTTTTTGTTATGTGAATATTATCATACTTATTGTTACTATTATTATTATTAACATTACTACTGCTGCTGCTATTACTACTACTACCTTTATCATTAAAATAATTAGCTGTATTTATCATTATCATTGTCGTTATCTTATCACAATTATTTTATCATCATTATCATTATCATCATTGTCATAATCATCATCACAATTATCAGTATTATTAATATTATTCTATTATCATTATTGTTATCACTTTCCTCATTCACATTGTTGATGATATAACACTATGACTACCGTTATCGTTATCAAAACGTGTTATCAATGACCTTGTAACCATTGATTTATAACAGGATAACGGATGTAATGTTGAAATAACTATTGGTATATACCTTTTTTATTATGATCATTATCAACATTGAGTATTATGCTTATGATTTTGACATCATTTTACAGTATTAGTATCACTATGAATAGTTTCATAATTTTTTTTTTTACTAATGTGATTATCCTAATTTCATCACAACTATCCACATCAGTGATGTCTTTTAAGTAATCACCATTATCATTATTGTCATGGTGATCAGCATCATTATCACTGTTGGTAATTGTTATCAATATTGTTTTGTTGTTCGTTGTTAGTATGCCTATTATCATCACTATTATTACTATCAATATGATTACTATCATGATTATCATTATTATTGTTATCATTATTATCATCACTATTATCATTATTGTATCGTTATCATCATTATTGACATCGATATCATAATCATCAGTGAAATATCAGGAAAAAAATATGCAAAGAGCACTCACTTCTTCCCTGTTTACATCGGTGACGCTTCCCTCTGTTTACAATTCGAATTACTATGACTGCCACGGCCCTTGAGGTTTGGAGGCCATTATCACAGGCAAATTCACAATGGCCCACCACACCACAGACTCCAATCGGTACTCTAACCTTTAAATTCGGGGAGGCATCAAATCCATACCTACAGTCCCACCTACAGTTCCACCGTTATTCGTTATTTCTACCGTACATTTCCATAGTAATTTCCTTTGAGGGGCAGTGAAGTACCACTCGCCAGTTCCACTCGAGTGTTCCGGCAGAGTGTGGGCAATTTTGTGGAAATGGCTTATTTAGTCGTAGATATGAGCGTGACGCAACTGGGTGTGTGATTTTTACACGCTTTACGAGCCGCGTGTGCAGTAATGAGTATGTGGGTAATTATGGCTTGACCTCCTTTTTTCCGACTCTGAGGAGGAATAGGATTATTGGAAACATATATTTCTAAGAGTGGTATTCATTTTATAGATTTTTGTGGTATAGTTTTCGTTCAGTAAGTCAGTAGGCTGTACAGTTTCTTGGAAATAACACCGGGTTAAATATATACAGTCTCCGGACAACATGGCGACCTGGAGGTTATAATGGTAACTTGCGGTGAAACATGAGCGAAGATTTATAAAATTTTGGCAGTCGTTCGCGAAGGTTGGCGAGCACAGGGCTCCAGCAGACAGTTAGCGTTACCCAATACAGGTGGTGTTCAGCTGTCTATTGTGGCGTGAAAAAAGATAATACGCATGAATTATTATTATTATTATTATTATTGTTATTATTTTTACTTTAGTTGTGAATACAGGATTGCCAGTCTTGTGAGTTTTTCTCATTGCCAACTTTTTTTTCCAAACTGCATTTCCCTGACAAACTGTTTAATGCATTGTAACAAGTACATTGAAACATAAGTTAACGCCATACAGATATGTCATGTGTGGCCTACCTCAAAATGATGACGGATGGATAGGATTCGATTCCACTCAATGCAGTAGCAGAAAAAGGATGAATGGAAATAACATCTTCACAATACAAGAGATATATTTGACCGGTTTTGCATATACCTCCGTCAGAAATACATGTCATGTATTTCTGACGAAGATATATTCGAGACCTGTCTAATACATTTCTTGTATTGTGAAGATATTTCTCATTCATACCTTTTCTACATTTGTCAAATACCGTTCATAAAATAGTTGTTTTGTCCGTGTAGTTTTCTCTTATATTCCATTTCCCTTTAGTGTAGCAAGGAAATTTTTATTCCAGCGAATTTCTTGCAATAGATTATGTAGCTAGATTATTTCATCTTATGTTAAGGGGTATGGGAACAATTTGGTTTGGTTGAAATACACTGCTTCAAGAAAAACGCAAAAAACAATACATGTATTAACGGTCATCTGATTAACGGTCGACGGGCAATAATCTGGACAATTAAGTTAAACTGAGATTTGTGACGGCGCACTTCGAATAAGCCTTGTTTACGGTCGGCCCGGACGCAAACAGGGACTACGTTATATTAATAGCGCATATCTTTTAAGGTCACATACACATACACAAATATAAATATGTTTGGATATGTGCTGGATACATATGGTGCAGATTTGAAGGTGGTAGTGCATTTTACACACTGCATCAAAATGAGCATTTGCATTCATATATATGTGTGTACTTCAGGGAATGTTACCTTACAGTAGGCATACTGTACGTGATATAATCACATATTCCATGGTCAAAAAAAAAAAAAAAAAAAAAAAAAAAAAAAAAAAAAAAAAAAAAAAAAAAATATATATATATATATATATAATATATATATATATATATATATATATATATATATATATATATATACGTACAAATGCACTAAATTGTACGACTTACGCCTTGTAACGCTCCATATTTGTACAGCATTGGAGGTTAGAGAGTCACCTGGTGGCCAAAACCGAAAGCTAACACTCGGCATCGCCCTCCCACTGCTGCCGGTCGTCGCGGGAGACGCCACCAACGCCCAGTAGGACCAAGAGCTCACACTAACTGTATTATACGCGCGCGTATGTGTGCTTTGCGATGGAGTTCCCGATCTGCTTTTTACGTGACAGTGATTTTCCTCGGCGCAGTGTTAAGTCTCGGAGAAGGATCAAGAGAAAACTTATTGAACCCCGATGACGTACTGAAAATCGAGTTGGATCATTTATACGTGGAGTTCGAGCAGCTCTGGGGTGCTTTTGGCTCTGAACAAACATCGCAGGAGCTTCATAAAACCGCCGACGGAAGCACAATAGATTCAGAACGCCACATCTACAGAGACTTCAACACAACCTCAGATAATGTTCACAAATCAGAAACTCCTGCAGCCACGGACGTCCCCGTTAGAAGAACGCCGAGAGGAAGCCCACCCAATATTTTCCGGAGAAAGAAGGTCCCGAAACGCTGCATGGGGTCAGGTGCTGCTTCTGTGTTTTCAGGAGGCAACGCTCTCAATTATATGAGCTTTTTGGTCACCGTCAGCACCCTCATTCTTAATATCAATAATAATATAAACAATAACAATAATAACAACAACAACAACAATAATAATAATGTTGATAACAGTAATGTCAACACAAACCTCAACGCTAACAATGCAAATCAGGTAAGCCGTCGTGTCATTTTTTATTCAAGGTGATTTAGAATTGCATTTATGTATCCATTAAGGCCACAGTACACAGTATATGTTGAATACCACACTACATACGCAAAGTAACACGTAAAAAGTATCTGCTAATGTCGGCGCCCTTCACAGATCAACATCATGCCCCCGGGTCGACGCAAGCGACGTAGCCGGACGATAGATGTCGCTGCGTGGGTGATGACGTCACGGGATATGTGTCCGGCTCCTCCCAGGTGCGTTTGAACCTTTTCTTTCGTGCATCTGCTTTCATTGCAATTATACGTGAATGTCATGTCTACCGTGTTTTCTTTTGTGATCTATTTTTAGTTGCATTATTGATTTCAGCGACGGTTTGGTAGATGCCGTGAACTTCCTGGAGAAGGCGCTGACGGGAAAGTTCAAGAGTCTCGCGATGCAGTAGCAGTGTCTGTGTCGTGTGTGTTTACGCCCGTGATTTCGATACAAGGGATTCCATTTCTTTATATGGTTTCCCTCTTTTTATTTTCTTTATGTCCTTGTTATTTGTGTTTCACTTGTAATAAAAGT